ACGAGCAGGCAAGGAGCCTCCCTCCTGGAGATTACACTTTATAACGCAAAACACGCTTTCAGCCAGGCCATGCTTTTGAGGGAGAAAGGTAAAGCTGCTAGAGAACTCTGCCAAGCTGCTGAGAGCTTTGCTTGGCGGCTGAACTAAACTGCTGCTGAACTAAATTGATGCTGAGATGCTGGAAAGAGAGAGAAAGATGTTGCAGCGGCTGCTTTTGATGCTGGCCGGCTGGCCGTGCATCCTAACCCCCCCCCAATCTTTCCTTAAAATGAAGCTCTCTATTGAATCTCTCTAAAATGTGCCATTAGAGACATTCAAACACATCAGCCAACATGTTTTGGAGATGTGGAAAGGGCACCATACTCCCCAGAGATCCTTCCCTTCTAATCATCAATGCAACAGACTGGACTTCTTCTAGACAGGTGAGCATAAAATCGTTTCAGCCACATCCCTATTTCTAAGTAACTAAAACTATTTTGTATTAATTTCTGTAATTCTAAAGGATCTTGTATGATTGTGTGTGAGATTCCGATTTTTGTATGTATGTGATCTGAATATTATTACGCAGTAAAAAGAACAACTTGATTTCAATATAAGGGTCTGGTCTCCTTTTATACCACTGGGAAATTCCTTGGGTCGGTTTTGGACGTCTGTATACACAGGCAAAAGGACCCCAAAACATTTAATCCGGCCTCTGCTGTAGATAAAGCAGTTTGGCTAACACTCATGCTCCACTTCCTATACATATTCAGTCTCTAATGTTTTGTTGGCAAAACAGCATGCAACAAATCCATGCAAAGAAGGATTCTATTATCCTGTTCCTGCCACAGAAGATAAACATTGTTCAGTGATTCCCACCATCCAATCAGGGAGGGAGGAGCTTTTTTAAAACTTCCTGTCTTTTGCCTGTGGGAGTTGCTTTCTTCAATTTTGGTAACTCCGAAAACAGTAAGACTGTAAAGTCAATTCAAGGAAACAAAACAAACAGACAAGAACAGGGCGACAACCTAGATAAGGAAAAAAACAGGCAAACAGTAATTTTGAGACAAGATGTGTACCAGCTGAACAACTAGTTTGACAAAGACTTTGGGAGGGACAAGATTTTCTCCTTTCTTCAGAGGAGAAGGACTCTTCACGGTAAGGGTCCAATGGTCATTCTCCCTCTGAGGCAGAGGACATCAATTCATATGGTCAGCCTTTGGTTTCTTCACTTTTCCAAGTCACATTCCAACTGTCACTCTCCTTTATTTTGTCTTCATGAGATGTTTCTGAAGCCAAGCAGTTATCTGTGGTTCCTTTAGGGTTTTCTGTTAGGTGATGCCTTCGGTTTGAGTAACAATTCCTTGGATTCTACTTCTATTGACTTTTGGACGTATCTGTGTTTCTTCTGTTAGGTGATGCCTTCGGTTTGAGCAACAATTCTATTGACTTTTGGACGTATCTGTGTTTTAACACAATTTACAATTAACAGCGTGCTCAATATCAGTAGAGTGTGATATGTTTACTCTTGTTGAATATTTATTATGCATCTTTGTTTATTATGGGTTGAATAATAAAATAAATTTGTATTTTTTGCTACTTTGGAGTGTTTATAGTTCATTTATCAGCACACAGTTCTTTAGTTGTTTGCTTATATTGTGTAATTTTACTTTCTAGTTTTGCATCCACAAGGACATGGCAGACATGGGCCTAGCCAGACTACTATCCTGACACCCAGAAATAATAGTAGTAGTAGTGGTAGTGGTAGTAGTAGTAGTAGTAGTAGTAGTAGTAGTAGTAGTAGTAGTAGTAGTAGTAGTAGTAGTAGTAGTAGTAGTAGTAGTAGTAGTAGTAGTAGTAGTAGTAGTAGTAGTAGTAGTAGTAGTAGTAGTAGTAGTAGTAGTAGTAGTAGTAGTAGTAGTAGTAGTAGTAGTAGTAGTAGTAGTAGTAGTAGTAGTAGTAGTAATAGATTGTATGTATACCCTGCCCTTCATTACTCAAAGGAGTCTCAGAGAGGCTTAAATTGCCTTTCCCTTCCTCTCCCCACAACAGACACCCTGTGAGGTAAGTGGGGCTGAGAGACCTCTCTCAAGAACTGCCCTTGAGAGAACAGCTCTGAAAGAATTTATGATTGACTCAAGGTTATATCAGTAGTTGCATGTGGAGGAGTGGGGAATCAAATCTGGTTCTCCCAGATTAGAGTCTGCACTCTTAACCACTATACCCAACTCACTCTCTGCACAAATCCTGCAGTCACAAAATTTCAATCTAGGGAATGAATGGTTGTGAACATGGATGCAATCAGTTTCACCCAATATCCATAACCTGATAAACACCAACAAGATGCCCTCTGGACTAGACTTGCCATGTAAAGTATGGAAGATGGTTAATAGAAAACAAACAGTGCAACCCTGTTGTTTAAATGGGGCAAAATACCAGAACATTAATGTGATTGTGGTGCAGCCCACCATACTATTTTCTGTCCGTCACAGGATTATGAGCACCGTGCTTTCCACTGAGAGGTGATGGAGCACTTTTGAACTTGTCACGCTGCAGTTGAGTGGATTGAAAACTTTGGATGTTAATATTTAGGGTAATTACCCAATCAGTCTGCATACCCATTGTTTTTTATATTATTATATGTTTCCTGTGTGTCACTGTGCCATACAATAAATAAATAATAATAACAATATACCAATATAATGATAGGTTAAACAAATTCTGTGAATTCCTACCTTTTATTTTTAGGTAAGTCTCTAACTCCTACCCTTCCTACCCTCACATAAATATGGCATTCTCCTTTTATCTCATTATATCTCATGAGGAACGGAGATAGAGGCTTAATTTTTGTTGTTGTTGTTGTTAATGAAACCTGGAAATTCAGGGAACCTGTGTAACCCATTATTATAATGATATATTAATATATCAATATCTTACTGCTTTTTAAAAATTAAAAATCCATATCTTTGGGGAGGGGAGGGAGTAATTGATCAATATTGACAGTCCAATTATCAAAGAGTGGGCTGGAGGTGGGTGGAACAGAGAAAACAGACAGAAACATTACAAATGAGGAAAAAAATTACTCGAAATCAACTTCCAGAAAAAACAAGGGAGTAAAAATGATCTCAAAAGAACTGGTGGAGGAGGGAAGTTAGGGAACAAGAATCCAGAAATGGGGGGGGGGACATGTGCAAGGAAATCAGGAGGTAAGCCCAAACAGTATGAGACCAGAATGAACAAGAAAAAAGCCGTAATTCAATATAAGTGAATAAAACAATTGGTAAATCATTCCAGGAAAAAAGACATTGAACTACAATATGTGGATTATCCCTCCTGAATTGCCTCAAAGTGGTTTACAGAGAAAAGATAGGACAATTCAGTTTCATATTAAATCAATACACACTTCCTAACAGACAAAACAAAATACAAAGCCAGTCTTCTGATCAATGCCTAGTGAAATCTGAAGCAGAGATTTAAGCCTCTATGACCACTGACTTCAGGGAGTTAGAAAGGTGTTACTGCTTGTGATTGCATTATCAATGATCTCAAATGTTCTCCTGAACAGTTCAATTTAGCCCCACTTTTTTAAGACCAAAGGATCTTTCTAACTGTCTCCAGAAGGCTAGTCTGTAACAAAGGGGCAGTCAAAACAAAAGATGAATACCAGCAGTGGCCAGTCCAATAAATTTTCAACTGAAAATTGGGAGGGGGCATGCTTGGATGGTGACAGATTACTATATTTATTGTTTTAATAGAAGGCGTGAGTCAGTTTAGTTTAGTTTATTTCTACAGTCCTTCGACCAGTCATACAAAAAGAAGTACACCTTTACAATATTCCAAGATTTTAACATACATCAGTAAATCATACATCAGTGAGTCAAATCTTTACCAACTCTTCAAAAGACAGAGACTCACCCCATCAACACAGACAGCACAATTTAGGCCCTGGTGACATGGCAAAGTTGCCGCAGGAGAGGCACGGATGGTGGGCGGATTATCTTGGTGCAATCACACCCCAACATCTGGGAAGTGGAGCACACCCGTGGCTTACCGCCGACAATGCACGTTAAAAAACTAGAACCTCCAAGGTACTAGTAAACGTTTGCCACGGGCTGCCTCCAGACACCATTGTGTGATCGCGCCGGCAGGCGGCATTCCCCTCCGGTCCCTTGTTTACCCGCCGGCGCCAAGGGAAAACCCCGTGGTGTGCTGCCAGTGCATCTGATCGCGTAATCGTGTATCAAACTGCACCGGGGCAATTAGCCACGCCTCCCCTGCAATATCGGCCTGCGATATCGGCCTTAATTCAGAATGCTGACCTTACCTACCAGCACTCTCTTGTCTTATGTGGAGTCTGCTGCTCTGTGGGCTTCCATTTCTCTTTCATTGACTCTGGCTCCAACTTTTCTAAACAATGTTTTAACCATGGATGTTTTTTTAACGATAAAAATGGAATTTTTGTATACTATATTGAGCAGAAAACTCTCAGGAAGTATAGTTACAAATCAGGGCTTTAAAAAAAATATATGATTTTTCCTCCTTCCTTCCTTCCTTCCTTCCTTCCTTCCTTCCTTCCTTCCTTCCTTCCTTCCTT